GCAGAGGGGGGCCATTCTGGAGCTGTTCAAGGGGGTGGGTTGGAGGCTCCTGGTCAGGGGCTGCTGCACGTGTTGGGGAGGAATATGTCTCTGCATCGAAGAGGCTGAGGAGATGGGAAGGGCTCTGGGGGCTTGTTCTTTGGGGTCATTTTACTTCTCAACTGACTGAGTCAGTGGTGCAAGACCTGCTCTGTTTGAAAGTTCGTCCTGTGTCGAGTGTCCAGGGCATGGTTTGCTGTACTCATGTCCTTACTGACGGGGCTAAACAGTGCTGTGAACTCTGGGTTAGGAAAAGCGTTAGCTATCACTCACATTGGTTTTTCCCCATTTTTCCAGACTCTCTCTTTCTCCATAAGTAGCTGAAGCACAAAAGTCCCCATCATGGATTTCCAGCATCGTCCTGGAGGTAAAACTGGAAGCGGAGGCGTAGCCTCTGCCTCAGAAAGTAACCGAGACCGCAGGGAGAGGCTCCGGCAGCTGGCTTTGGAAACCATCGACATCAACAAGGTGAGCCTTGGCCTCTGCGTGCCCAGGAAAAAAAAAGACCCGGGGCTCCTGGCCTGCAGACTGTTGCGGGGATAAGTTTAGAGCTTTGCCTGAGCGAAATGGCTTGCAGGGCGAGAGATTTAGTGGGGAGTTGTGGATTGGAATGACTACTTCTGTTTCTGGTAATGTGGGAGTCGAACGAGAAACATTTGTGACAGGGCTGACCAGGGAGGTGCCAGCACTTGCGTATTCAAGTAGCTGTTACCACATTATTTTCAGTCTTTTCGGGACTGGCTCATATTTTGCTGTTTCTTGCCTGCAGTTGGGTCTGCTGTCACCAATTAACAAAGCTGCCATTGTTTCTCTCTGTTTTTGTAGTCCTAAAGCAGTGTTATGCTATTAATTTAAATTTACAAACCCAGTTGTTCCACTGCAGCAAAAGTTTTGATTGTTCTGTTGTTCCATGATGTATTTTGCTTGTAACTTTTTAATAATTCTTTTCCTAGGACCCTTATTTTATGAAAAATCACTTGGGCTCTTATGAATGCAAGCTCTGCCTAACGCTGCACAACAATGAGGTGAGTTGAGCAGCTGTCTGTCTGGATCGCGGCAGCCAGCATTTTAGAGTAATAGGAGCTTCAAGTGCAAGAACCTGGGACGTGCCTGATGACTGACTGCCGAAGAGCTGATGGGTGGGTGGTGGCTTGTGTGTGTTAAGCCTGACAGTTTATGACAGCTCAGCAGTTAAAAGCAATCTGCGATTTTTGAGTAAGATTCCTCGCTGCTAAGGATTAAAATATCCTTGTCAACCTGTGATACAGGCTCTCCTCTGTGACAGGTATCTGTCAGTGTAGGAACAGTCCTGTCTTCATTTAACTTTCATCTACTTTGTTTTTTATTTCAGGGGAGTTACTTAGCACATACCCAGGGGAAGAAGCATCAGACCAATTTGTAAGTCATCCCCCACTGTAACTTTATTCTGCATTACCTGAGCACTTCAAAATGATGCTGTGTGCATCCATGAATCTTGAACTCCATTATGCAGTAGCCCACTGTGCTTGAAGGTTCTCTCACTGTGTTTGTTTTCTAGTGAGCAGCCTGGCACTAGCCAGGTGGGACAGCCTAGGTCTGCTTCAAAAAATGGTGCTGAAAAGCTCCATTTCGAGCTCAAGTTCAAAGCCAATTGTGGGAATCCTGGTGGAAGGGGGAGAAGGAGTTTTAAAAGCAAATTTGAGTCTAGGTATAAGGACCTGGCTCTGTGAATGCAGGTTGGGAGAAGTTTATAAGTTTTATTTTAAGAAACACGCTTTGCTTTTGTTTAGGTGACTGGTTTGTGGGGTTTTTTCTTTTTTATTTCAAGAAGTACATCTTAAACCCATCTGTGGAGATGGGCTCCAAGGTCATCTTGGGGGGTGGATGAGATAATTGGGATGACAGCCTTTAGTTAGGGGAAGGCATGGGTACAATTGGCCTGTAGTGGTGTGTGTGGAAGAGAAATACCAGGATTTCCTGGCGTGCTTTCTGTGAAGAGCTCAATATTCCATGCTGAGGGATTCAAACTGCTCGTAGCCTATCCTTTAGAAACAAGTGTGGCTAACCTTATAAATCAGGCACATTTCCAATTAATCTAGGGCCCGTCGAGCTGCGAAGGAAGCTAAGGAAGCCCCTGCCCAGCCTGCCCCGGAAAAAGTCAAAGTGGAAGTGAAGAAATTTGTGAAAATCGGGCGACCGGGTTATAAAGGTACGTCGGGGTGTCTGTCAGAGGAGATAGCCGATGCCTGCTGGAGCTTGCCTGAAGTGCAGTGCTGTGGATGTGAATTATTAATTAGTCTTTTTAGCAGATCTGTCCATGAATAAGATATGGGCTTATCTCCTGATGTCCTTTATTGTTTAAATTACCCATGGAACATCTCTTTATTGCTGACAGTCGAGTGAGAGCCATTTTAATAATAGATTGGTATGTCTCAGTCTTTCAGCTCTTATTAGCAGTCAGGCAGGAGATGGTGACATTGTTTCAGCCTCTCTCCTCCTTTTATTGTGCTGTACCAGCTTTCACTAATGCTCATAAATCACTCATTGCATGTATAGCTCAACTTTTCTCTCTGAACCCCCCATTGTTTTGCTTTGGCCTTCAGTACGCCACTTGGCTTCTTTATCTCCCAGCTTTCTTCTGCAGCGCACGGTGTCTCTGCCCCACAGCAGCTGAATTTTGCTAGAGATCCCAAGTAGCTTTGGTTAAAGACAATGTGGCATTCTGTTTGATAAATGGGAGAAAAATCTTGTAACACTTTGTTATTGGAAACTTTGTGTGTTTCCTAGGGCAGAAATAATGTTGCTCTAACCCTGCTATGTGATGGACTGAGCTTTATTGCTTTCTTCACAGTGACCAAACAGAGAGATCCAGAAACAGGCCAGCAGAGCCTTCTCTTCCAGGTAAGGGCACTGTTCAAACTCTTGGTGTTCGGGTTATCCAAGTAAAAATGCTGCTAAATCAGCAGTTCTTTGCAGGATTCATGAAATACATTTTAAAAAAAAAAAAAAAAAAAGGCCTTACCTTGCTAGTCCTCTGCTGCTGATTGTGTCAAGCAAATCCACAATCGCAGCTGTCAAGCTGTTTCCTTCAGTGGCACTGAGTTTTCTGTTCGGAGCTGATCTCTGGATATGCTCTGTAGTTGAGGGATTTTTGTACGAAGTGGGAGCGCAAAGGTGATGTTCTCCTTACTGCTGTAATAAACCCCCAACAGATTGATTATCCGGAGATTGCAGAAAGCATCATGCCTCGTCATCGGTTCATGTCAGCCTACGAGCAAAGGATTGAGCCCCCTGATAGACGCTGGCAATACCTTTTGATGGCAGCGGAGCCCTATGAAACCATAGCTTTCAAGGTAAGATTTGGGATTAACTGATTGTTTGGGAAGTTCCCTTCCCATGTTTTCCAAGACATTAATTTCCAGGGAGCATCATTATAGACTTCTGGTCTAGCCCTCAGGGGGTTAATGGAGTGGAAAGGGGGGTCAAGAAGACACGACTGGAAGTCATTAAACCCTGCTGAGAATTAGTGGAGGACTCTGGCATGAAAACTAGGCTGTGTGCTGAGCTCTGGGGAGCTGTTGAATTCTCAGTGTCTGGCACAGAAAGGAGCCTTCTGGGCTTTGCTCCTCAGCCTTTGTGCAGATGTTGAGAGGGTTTTTTGCCAGCGCACTTGTCCTTGACCGATAGGGAAGTAACTCAATTCTTTCCTGCCCCCATCTCTATCTAATAACATCCGAGACCAACGCATCTCGCAACGGCCTGGAATAACTGTGCTTATCTTGCAGTCTCTGGTGCTAAGAAGGGCCATTGAGCTAATCTGCTGGTGCTAATAATAGCTCCTTATTCTTTTTTGTTGCAGGTGCCAAGCAGAGAAATCGACAAAGCAGAAGGAAAGTTTTGGACCCACTGGAACAGGGAAACCAAACAGGTAGCTGGAGCACTGCGATGTTTTTCTTAAGGGTTAAAGAGGGAGCAGGAGGGCAGAGAGGAGCTTGGGGGGAAAGGCAATGTAGGGAGAGCACGCATCAGCTGGCTTTGATGTTAAAATCTTCATTCCTTCAATGCAGCTGTGCAGTGACTCCTGACAGAAAGATCTTCCTGTCTGTGATCTTTGTGAGAATTTAACCTGGGAGGTAGGAGCCTCTGTTGCTGTCAGCAGCAGCAGCGGGACGATGCATAAATGTACAAGAGTGTGGCTCCTCGCAGCGTGCTTCCTGCACGGAGCTGGCTGTGCAGAGCCTGTGGCAGGGGTGCACGCCCTGGGTATCGCACGCGAGAGCAGGGCATGGAGGCAGGGTGGGGGATACCGGCCCCCTCACAGGCAGCCTAGCGCTTAGAACAGGTTTCAGAGGATTTAAAGCACTGGAGGAGACTGGGGCAAGTCGTGAATGCTGCCGGGGTGGAAAGGCAGCCATGATCTGTGGAGGTAACGGGTCAGGAGAGGTCCAGGCCGTGTTCCTGGAGGCAGAGAGTAGCTGTGCGATGGGATGGATCAGGGTTGTCCTGAGGATTAATTGTTCCCTTCTTTTTGCTTTTCTACTCTCCCCTCCCCAGTTCTTCCTTCAATTCCACTTCAAGATGGAGAAGCCCCCAGCTCCCCCAAACCTCCCTCCAGGGCCCCCAACCGTGAAGCGGCCTCCTCCACCTCCGCTGATGAACGGCTTGCCCCCACGGCCACCTTTGCCGGACTCGATGCCGCCGCCTCCTCCAGGAGGCATGACTCTGCCTCCTATGCCTCCCTCTGGACCAGTGCCACCACCTCCAGTCCCACCTCAGCTGCCACCAGCACCTGGTGTGCCCCCCCCTGCTCCTCTGCCACCCATGATGAGGCCACCTCTCCCCACGGAGGGGCCGGGCACTATTCCCCCTCCACCTCCCTCCAACTGAAGCCCCTCCTGGACTCGGTCCTGCTGGACTCCTCTAGCTCGTACCTTTTTATATACAGATCACAACTGATCCAGAGAAATATTTCTGTTTTGTATGCCTGTGAATTTCACAGTCTTGTAGGTTCATTAAAAGGATTTCAATTTTCCTTTCTCTATGCTTTCCTTTGTCCTGGTTAAAAACGTTGCTGTGTGTTCACTTTCTTTAACCCTTAGATATATAAAACATTCCCAGTCTGGAATTTTGGAAATGCTCCATAGAGGAGGCAAAGAACTGGAAGAAATCTCTGGGTACCTCCCCTCCATCAACCTCAGCTCAGCCTCACGTATTGCCCCTCTTAGACCGTGTGATGTCTATCCCATAAATTACCAGCCAGTTAATTGCTTCCTATTCAACTGGAGCCCTTTATTGAGCCGTCCGTTCGCTGAGGGGGAGACTGGTCCCAGGCACATGGGAAGGATTCTGCTACTGCATCCCAGTAACGGCAGTGGTGGGCACGACGGAGGGCAAGCGGGGTTTTCGAGCTGCGGGT